CCCAGCCATGGTTCTTGCACTTAAAAAGGTCCTGACAGAGGAGTTCCCCAAGCTCCTCTAGCAGGCCTCCTCCCAGTGGCAGATTTGATGTACACCAATGGGTCCTTGGCCCAGACTAAACTTAGTCCACCTCCCATCCTGGGAAGAGCAGTGTCCTTGCCCAACTGGCTCAAAACCATTCCAGTTCTTACTGTTGGATGCTATAGCCCAGCCATCCGGACACAACTCACACATGGCTCAGCAGGGGCAGAGACCTAGTCCAGTCCACTACCCTGGCTCTCATAGGCATCAGTGGGTGCTGGAGTCTTGTCCAGGCTGTGCACACCAGACCCAGTCCTCATCCATACCAAGAGACACTAAAGTCTTGTCCAGCCCAGATTGCCGCCTCCACTCTGACCCTCACGCTCATCAATGGGAACCACAACCCAGCCAGGGCATCACCTTATCTCCCCAACCAGGCCTGTTCCCAGACACAGATCTTGCATGTGCAAGTGGTTGCTCTGACCCAGCTTGGCATAGCTCATCCCCCGTCTTAGCCTTTGCCATCAGATGCTGCCGCCTGATCCAGCTGTGCCAGCCCCAACTCCCAGCTCACACTGGCGGCTGTTGTAGCCTAGCTCTGACTACTCTGCTCTCATCCCTCGCTCATGCAGACGGGTAGGTGTGATAGTCTAGCCTGCAATGGACCTGCACTCCAGCCTGTCTCCTATACACGTCAGTGGACTAAGGTTGACACAGTTCTGCCTCATCCGCCCCCCTCCAGAACCATACCACACACTTGTTGATAGGTGGAACTATTTTGCCTGGCCTGACCTGCACCCAGGCCCAATACCACATGTTCACCAGCGGGAGTGATGACTCACTAAGGGAGTTTCCCAAGTTCCCCCACCAGGTCCACTCCTAGACTCAGATTGCATATGTGCCAGCAGGTGCTAGGCCCTTACCAGCATAGTCTGCCCACTGTGTTCTGGCCGTTGTATGAGTCAGTGGATGTTGCAGCCCAGCTGCCCCACACCCTATTCTTGGGTGCACCTGTGGGTGCTGCAGCCTGGAGCTGCCTGGCCTGTTCCCAACCTCAGTACCCATGAGTCAGAGGGTTCCATGGTCATGCCTAACTCAGCCTGTCACTACCCCCAGCTCTTGGGCAAAACAGTGGAAACTGCAGTTCACAGGGTTGAGCCCAGATATCCCCCAGAGTCTGCCCCCAGACCTGGCTCTCTCGCGTGTTGGTTAGTATCATGGCCTAGACTAACGTTACCTGTCCCTTGTGCTGACACTCACATGCAGGGACTGTGCTCTAGCCCTGCCAGGCAGGCCCCCAGCCCAAGCCTTAGCATGCAGTGGTGAATGGTAGTCACTTTGGTCCATGGTATCTAGTCCAGCTCAGGTCTCCCACATGGCTGGTGCATCAGTCTGACCCAATAAGTTTCTCCAGCCTCTCCCCTGCAAACCTCTGTCTCAGTCCCCTTGCTTACCTGCAAGTACAGAGGCCTTGTCATTGGGAGTCCCTCAGAAGTCATTCCTCACCTGCAACACGCTCTCAGCAGTTCTCCCTCTCCCACCTCCCCTTTCCCTGACCAATGCTCTGTCCCTGTGACTAGGAGCACATGGAATCCCCAGCCCAGCCTTCTAGCTCATGGCACATGTGCTGGCCTGGGACCGTATCCCTTCACACACCCAAGATCCAGGTCCATTTATAGTTTCCCAAGCCTGGTTTGCCAGCCCACCAGGCCAGTGTGCTAACCCTGCTCAGGACCAAACACCTGGAGAAATCCCCCCAGGCTCGCTCTGACTGCCTGGACATGAGCTCCTACGGCCAGTGCTATGCCCCTGGCCCCATGCAAGCCTGGCGGTAGCCACCCTTGATCCTGTAACTTCTGTTTTTAAAAAAATAGGTCAAAAATAAATGTAACAGGAGCTGGTGCTGTGGCACAGTACGTGATACTAGCATTTCCTTCAAAGTTCAGAGGGATGGCCCAGCCGCTCTGCTGCCCACCCTGTTTCCCACCAATGTGCCAGGGAAGGCAGCAGACGTGGTTCAAACACTGGGGACCCTGCCTCCCATGCGAGAGACCAGGATTGAGTGCCTGGCTTCTGGCTTTGGCTAGCTCAGACCTGGCTAGTAGGGTCACATAGGAAGTGAAGCAGCCAGCACACAGAAATTTGTCTTTCCCTCACTGTCTCTTGCCTTCAAAACAAATTGTTTTAAAAGGACAATAAATAAACAAAAATTAACTTGGAACTATCCCGTGATAAATAACTATAGATTTCTTTCTTAAAGAATTTATAATCAAAGGAGCTGATGTTGTGGTGCAGTGGGTTAAGCAGCCTCCAGCAATTCCAGCAGCCCATATGGGTACACATTTGAGTCATGGTTGCTCTACTCCCAATCAAGTTCCCTGTGAATGAACCTAGGCAAGCACCCGAGGATGGCCCAAGTAACTGGGCCCCTGCCCACTCATGTCAGACCTGGATAGTTTCAGGTTCCTGACTTCTGCCTGGCCCAGCCAAGATGTGAAGTCAGTGAATGGAAGATCTCTTAGTATCTCTCATAACTCTGTATTTCTTTTCTTTTTTTTTTTTTTTAAAAGATTTGTTTTTATTGGAAAGGCAGACAGATCATATTTACAGAGAGATGAAGATATGGAAAGACCCTCCATCCACTGGTTCACTCCCCAAGTGACTGCAATAGCTGGATCTGAGCCAATCCGAAGCCAGGAGCTTCTTCCCGGTCTCCCATGCTTGTGCAGGGTCCCAAGGCCTTGAGCCATCCTCGACTGCTTTCCCAGGCCACAAGCAGGGAGCTGGATGAGAAGTAGAGCAGCCAGAATAGGAACTGGTACATATATGGGATCCCAGCACATGCAAGACAAGGATTTAGCCACTGAGCCATTGCACCAGGCCCCTAACTCCGCATTTCAAATAAAATAAAGAAATTTCTTAAAGAAATCTTTTAAGAAAAAAAAATTTATATTCACTTCTTATGTTATAATACATGACCAAAAATGTGTTGCACTGTCATTTTACTTGTTAAGTATTGGAATGGTACACAGCAGGTGGTCAAACATTGAGTAAAAAGGGGGTTTACACCCTATAACTTGAGCATTTAGGAGATTCAGGGAGATAACAGGAATAAAGAAGGGGGAGGAGCAGCACACAGTAAAAGCCAGAAGGACACACAGGACAGAGAGCACTGACCCCTGACACCCCAAGTCCCTGTGTGAGACAGGGGACCCAGCTGGCAGCTCCTCTGTCTGCAAACACACACACATGAGTAAACACATCTGGACTACACACACACACACACACACACAACTGTGTAGACACATCTGGACTACTTTATTATCATAAAGCAGATATCACTGCTTAAAACGGGAGGGGCATTCGACACTCTTCACTACATTCCTGTAGCTGTACTCTCCAGCCGGAAGAGCTGAGCAGTCACTCCTTGACTCCTGATAAGAACCCTAAGGACACACAGCAAACAGTGGAGCAGAAAGAATGTGGAAGAATACATTGATAAATATGTGGCCTTCATGATTTCTCCTCAGGAGAAGGTGGAAGTGGTTCAGGTAACAGAAATGACAGTAAGTTAGTGTGACACAGAAAAGAAATAGGGCTGCTTTCTACAAAGTTCCAGAATCCTGGCACAATCTTCGCTGATTATCTAAGAAACAGTGCCAAAACTGGTTGGAAATCTAGGGGGGGAGAGGAATGACACTTTCCTTTTTCTTTTTCTACTAAAGAAACTATTGTTATTGTTATTGTAAGGATTAACCTATTTATTTTGAAAATCAAAGTTAGAAAGACAGAGAGATCTTCGTTCCACTAGCTCGCTCCCCAAATGGCCACAACGGCCAAGGCTGGGCCAGGCTGCAACCAGAAGCCCTCACAACCCATCCTGGTCTCCCAGATCTTGTTACTTTTCTTAGCCCATTAGCAGGGAGCTGGATCAGAAGTGGAACAGTCTGGACATGAACCCGGGTCCACATGGGATGCCAACACTCTAGGCAATGGCTTGGTAAGCTACTCTACAACACTGGCTCCCTAAAGAAATTCTTTAATGGAAAAAAAAAATTCTCTTTCAGGAAAATGTGGAGGATTTTGCATGTGATAAAAACTGTTAATTGTCATTTGCTTCTGTTTCCTCCAAAAAGAACCCTGGTATTATTAGAGAAAGCAATATGGCCAACTAGGGCATTTTGCAACCTTCCCTGCAGCTTGATATGTCCATGAGGCGAAGTCACAGCTCAGGGACACACAGAGAAGGGCTCTGAGGGACTTTCAGCAAGGCTATTTAAAGGCAGGTGACTGTCTTGGGCCGAGGTCCTTCGTGCCCACTGTTTACCTTCCTCATCCACAATGACCCTTGGTGTTTGAACCACGACTTTCAGACCTATGACGCCAGAGCTCCACACCAGACACACAACTGATCAGCGTTGAACTGCTTTCCTCCAGACTTTCGAGATGAGACAAGAGCCCTGTCCTTGTTGAAGCCACTGCCTTGTGCTGCCAAACTGGACTCCTGACCACCCCCCACACACACACAATGGCACAGATGGGGCAAATGAAGGTTAGAGAAGTGACAGGATCTGTCCAAGGTGACCAGCAGCTGAGCAGCAGGGAGCAAGCAAAGCCCGCCATGCTACTCCAGTTGTGATCACCCAGGGAAATGCAATCTGCAAGGAGGTAGTGCTTTGTCAGCTGTGTTCATGGCTGTCCCTGGTCCTGTCACATGGCAAGCATTCGACAGACACTTCTCAGCCAATGAATGACTCCACAATGCCGCATCATCAGCATTCCATGTGGAAATCCAAACCCATTCCAAACCCATTCCATGTGGAAATCTTCTTTTAAGACTGTCAAACACTTGTAGGAGGAAATACTTTAACAAAACCAGGACACTAGTGATACCGACACAAAGGGTGATCACTATGGTGAAGCACTAACATTGATTAAGCCTCACCAGTTCTTGGGAAGCAACACTAATAAACTCTTACCTATGGTCACATCTCCCCGGATTTCACTTTCCACACACACAACTGCTCCTGGGGCAATCTTCACACTGGAGGCAGAAAATAAAGTTATATTCATCATGGGCAACACTGTAAACATTGCTACAGAAATTATCCTGAAGAAGCTTTTAAAAATTGGTGGGAAAAGGGAAGGTCATCTGTGACAGTCAGGTTTTAATACAGTATAACGCTTTCACGCAGCACACTGTCCGTGAGGCTGAAGGCACAGGCGAGAATCATACCAGAAGAAAAGAGCCTTGGGGTTTTTACTTTAATGTCTGTATTGTTCCCTTATTCATTTCAAAGGGAGACAGAGAGAAAGGAAGAGAGAGGTCTTTCATCTGCTGGTTCATTGCCTAACTGGTAACAAAAACTGGGGCTTATCCGGGCCAAAGCAAGGAGCTCCAAACTCCCTCTGGGTCCTCTACTTGAGGGACAGGGACCCCAGCACTTGAGTCGTCATCAACTGCTGTTCCGGGACCTTAACAGAGGCCGAATTGCAAGTGGAGTGGCCAGGGATTCATTCAGCTGGGTAATATGATTTGCAGGAGTCCCCATGTGACAGCCTGGCACTGTTTCCTTTCTAAACAGCTGTTATGGGACCAGTGTTACCGTGAGGTGAGTTAAGCTGCTATCTGTAACGCCAGTACCTGGTTTATGTCCTGACTGCTCCGATCCCTGCTCACTGCCTGGGAAAGCAGCGGATGATGGCCCAGGTACTTGGCTACCTGTACCCACTTGGGAAACCCGGATGAAGCTTCTGGTTCCTGGCTTCTGCTCAACCCTGGGACTCAAACTGGTACCATAGAGGATGTTGGTGTTACATATGGCACCTTCACCTGCCATGCTACAATGCTGGCCCCTGCAGTCTTTTCAAAGCCCTAAGATGAATATGTATCAAACAGAAAAGAAATAAAGGAAGAATCTGTGAGTCTATACTCAACCAATGGCTGTGCACAGCTACCTGTGTATCCATCACTTTGTCAGGCATTGAAGTCCTGCCTGGCAGAAGTTAATGAAATTCCACCAGTGATTCTAAGTTAGTTGCTAGGCAACTCATCAAGAATCAACCTGCTGGAATCACAGAAAATACTAGGCTTCCTACTGACTGAGAGAAAAAAGAAAAACTTCTGTAAGACACAGCAGGGCCTGGCGCAATAACGTAGCAGTTAAAGTCCACGCCTTGAATGCGCCAGGATCCCATTTAGAAGCCGGTTCTAATCCTGGCAGCTCCACTTCCCATCCAACTCCCTGCTTGTGGCCTGGGACAGCATTTGAGGACAGCCCAAAGCCTCGGGACCTGCACCTGCATAGGAGACCTGGAAGAGGTTCCTAGTTTCGGATTGGCTCAGCTCCAGCCGTTGTGCTCACTTGGGGAGTGAACCATCAGACGGAAAATCTTCCTCTGTCTCTCCTCCTCTCTGTATATTTGCCTTTCCAATAAAATAAATAAATCTAAAAAATAATAATAATAATTTAAAAAAAGAAAAGACCCAGCAGAATTACCAAGCAGAAAAATTCCCATCTGCTCCAAAGATTCACTTTTACACATGAGGAAACTCAGACCAACCAGAGATTGCTTAAAGCAAAATTCATTCCTGGAACAGAACTGCCCTAGCAATCATCTCTTTTTCAAGTGTTAATTGAAGGGCCAGCACTGTGGCAGAGCAAGCCAAGTCTCCACCTGAGGTGCCAGCATCTCACATGACACCAACTGGAGTCCCTAGCTGTTCTGCTTCCAGTCTGGCTACTTGTTAAGGAGCCTGGGAAGGCAGTGAACAATGGCACAAGTGCTTGGCCACTGTGCCCACACAGCAGACCCAGGGAAGCGCCTGGTTCCTGCCTTCAGACTGACTCAGCTCTGCCTGTTGAGGCCATCTGGGGAGTAACCAGTGGATGGAAGATCTCTATCTCTGCCTCACCTTTTCACTGCAACTCTTTCAAGCTAAAACAAACAGAAAATCCTTTTTTAAAAAAAAAAAAAGTGTTAATTCAAAGTTTCCTGGACCCAACTTGGCCCTCCAGATGCTATTCTGTGATGACTGGGTGCTGTTGCCTCTGAGGGGCCACCTTTTATAAAGCCATTCCTAACATTCTCCATGTACAGTTAGCCTTTTGGACTAAAATGTGCAATTTGTGTAGGCCCTTAAGCCTTGGTAAAATACATTCACTCCCACACACATCTTTTGACACCTCTAGGTTAGGCCTTACTTCCCGTTGCAATTTCCCGGTTGTAGTGTGTGTGCTGCTGAAGCAAGCAGTGTGTGATACTCCATTCCCTCAGCCCTGCCCATTGGGGAAGGAGCACCAGCTGACATCCAACATGTTCCAGGGACTGGGAAGAGGACAGACCTCCAGGCACCCTCCTGCTTCACCCTTAGGTCCAAGAGAGAGCTTTAGGAGAGAACTCGTGTCCTCATCAACAGGCCTCCGGGTGCAGCAGGAAAAAAAAAAAATACCCTCAATCACCTCTACACCAACTACACTATCCGAGCATTCAGGGACCCCACTGCAGCCCGGAATGGGGAAAGAATGCAGGACACGAGGCTGGGAGAGGAGTGTCACCACAGGCCTATTAAACTCACCTGGTCATCTCTCATCCTCACTGTACTACTCTACACAATATTTACAGCACGGCCAGCCCCACGCTGTTCCAGGGCACAAGGTCCACCCAGCCCCGCGCTGTCCCCGGGGACCCAGCCCACCCAAGCCCACACTGTCCCTATGGACCCAGCCCACCCAAGCCCACACTGTCCCCGGGGACACGGCCCTCCCAAGCCTACACTGTCCCTGGGGACATGGCCCACCCAGCCCCACGCTGTTCCCGGGGACATGACCCACCCAGCCCCACGCTGTTCCAGGGCACAAGGTCCACCCAGCCCTGCGCTGTCCCCGGGGACACGGCCTACCCAAGCCCACACTGTCCCTATGGACCCAGCCTACCCAAACCCACACTGTCCCTATGGACACGGCCTACCCAAGCCCACACTGTCCCTATGGACCTAGCCCACCCAAGCCCACACTGTCCCCGGGGACACGGCCCTCCCAAGCCCACACTGTTCCCTATGGACCTAGCCCACCCAAGCCCACACTGTCCCCGGGGACACGGCCCACCCAAGCCCACACTGTCCCCGGGGACACGGCCCTCCCAAGCCCACACTGTTCCCTATGGACCTAGCCCACCCAGCCCCACGCTGTTCCCGGGGACACGGCCCACACAAGGCCGCGCTGTCCCTACAGACCTTGCCGGCCCAGCTGCCCCGTGTCCCCGGGGCCACGGCCCCAGCCCCGTAGACGGTCCGGGAAGGGGCGTAGTCACCCCTCGGGCTCAGGAGGGTCAGAAGTTGCTGTCCGCTGATTCTTGGGCAGCTGGAGGAGGGGCGGCCAGGACGGAGGAACCAACACCTTCCCGGAACGAATCCGCATCCCTTCTCAGCTCTCCCTGCCCAGCCGACGCCAGGCCCCGGGCCTTCGGCACCACCAAGCCTCGGGCCTTCGGCACCACCAAGCCCAAGCGCCCGGGATAAGACGCCAGCTCGGTGTCTGCCTTTGGCGAGCAGGACCGGGTTCCGCCCTGGCCGAGAGCTGAAGACAAGCGTTTATTCCAGCGCCGACCTACCTCTTCTGCGTCTTGTCAGCCATAGTACAGCCCGGTATCCAAGTACAGCTGGGATCGACACCTCCGCCTGCGTAAACCGATGATCTCGAAGAGCGACTGGAGGGCCTGGCAGGATTGGAACGAGGGGCGGGGAGAGGGGCGGAGCGAGACTGTGCGGACCGGGGGCGGGACCTGTGCGGACCGGGGGCGGGACCTGTGCGGACCGGGGGCGGGACCTGTGCGGACCGGGGGCGGGGTCTGTGCGAACCGGGGGCGGGGCCTGGAGTCCTGCTTCATTGCTTTTTACAGTTTTGTATTTGTCTTTTTTTTTTTTGTATTTGTCTTAAGACTTCATTCTTGCTGCTGCGACCTGGAATAATCAACCCATCGCTTTAAAAGTGGCCTTCCACAGGTCGCCGCTTCTCCAACCATTTATAAAACTTCCCATCTCTAGACCGTTGTTGATGCTAAGTTGTGGCTTTTTTTTTTTAAAGATTTATTTTTATTTTTATTGGAAAGGCAGATATACAGAGAGGAGAGACAGAGAGGAAGATCTTCCGTCCGATGATTCACTCCCCAAGTGAGCGCAACGGCCGATGCTATGCCGATCCGAAGCCAGCAGCCCCCTCCAGGTCTCCCACATGGGTGCAGGGTCCCAAAGCCTTGGGCCGTCCTCGACTGCTTTCCCGGGCCACAGGCAGGGAGCTGGATGGGAAGTGGGGCCGCCGGGACTAGAACCGGCGCCCATTTGGGATCCTGGGCGTGCAAGGCAAGGACCTTAACCACTGCGCCACCGCGCCGGGCCCAAGTTGTAGCTTTTTATGGGTCGGGGCAATATTCTGCCAGCTCTGCCTTCAGACCAGAGATTGTCTCCCCCAAGAAACCATTGAATTTATCTGGACAATAAGATGCTGGACTCTATGCATGGTACATGCTTGCAATGAAAGAAATATGACTGGATTTGAACTGTAATACTGTATTTGATTTGAACTGCAATACTGCAGTAAGGTGGAGGAATCCACCATGGGGGAGGACACGGGGAGGGGTTGGGGGAATCCCAGAGCCTATGAAACTGTGTCATAAAATCAAATGTAATAAAAAAAAATAGTAACCTACAAAAAAAAAAACAACTTCCCATCTCTGCAGGTGGTTATTCCTTTACCCACTAGCAGCATACCCTGGCACCAGAGTTCCTCCCGGAAAGCTGGTGTGGTGCCGTGTGGGTAAAGCCGCAACCTGTGACAGAGCCAACTTCCCGGTTGGGCACAGGTTTGAGACTCACCGGAACCACTTCTGAGCCAGCTCCTACTGATTCACCAAGATGCCCCAAGCCAGGCTGAAGCTCCCGGCGCGGCGCAACCCTGGCAGTTGCAGCCATTTGGACAGTGACGCAGTGGATGGAAAAATTCTCTGTTTCTTTGTCAGTGTGTCTTTCATATCAATCAATCAATCAATCAATACTCTTTTAAAATGATCTTAAAAACCAGATAGCATTTGTTTTCGTTGCTGTCGCTACAGTAGACTAAGACGTGATAGGAGAACAAGGGACCATGTCTTCCTTAGCCTTCGCTTTTGGCTGCAGCCTACTGTAAGTGTTAGCAGTGTTCACCTGGGCTTTTTTTTTTTTTTTTCTAATTTAGCTAAAATACTCAAGAGGAGCTTCGTTTGTCCTCCATGTGGTCTTGTGAGGAGTTAGAAGGGTTAACTGGCAGTTGGGAAAGGCCCTCCCCAAGCCCTTTGGGAATAAGGAGCCAGGTGTTTGTATGAAACCTGACATCAGCTGATTGCACAAAAGACACTGGCCTGTTAAAATGAAAAGATTGATGCTTAGGAAACACAACGGGTCCCCTACCCACAGGTCACCATGTGAAAAGTAGGCTCTGGCGTCACATCAGAGCACACAGCCACAGCCTGCCTTTGACGCTCAGCAACTGACCGAGTGGGCACAGCCTGCCTCAAACACTGAGCAGTTGATCTGGTGGGCACGGCCTGCCTTAGACACTGGGCAGCTGACCTGGTGGGCACGGCCTGCCTTAGACACTGGGCAGCGGACTGGGTGGGCACAGATTCTCCTGGCAAGTGTGTCTCAGCTGTCGCATCTCCCAGGTGGTTGACACGGTAACATTCGTTAACTGGTCTGGAACTAGAACCGCTACACAAGAGACATAGAAAATAGCAAAGCAGACCGCTGACATATTGGAACAATGAACTGATCCATTGATATACATTTGTGTGAAAGCTCCCAACACCCAGACCTGGGTGGGCCTCTCCCTCCCCTGGGGACCCTCTCAGCAAGCAGGGGTCTCTGTTTCTCAACAAAACCCCCTCCCTCTTGCTCACCACCACCCACTTTATTGTCCATTCGCCACGAGGCCAGGAACTGATTCTGAATTTCTGTAACAGTCTCTCCCTGTAATACCATCATCGTTTGAACCAAGGATCCAACCCTAAGCCCTCAGGCAGTGCAGTCACTTCTCCGGCCTACAGTCAGACAGCTGAACTGGGTCGATCCCCTTCCCTTCAGGTCAGACCTCGGGGCTTAGGCATCTTGAGTGGTTCAGGAGCCAAATCCTGGTCCACCCACATCCATAACCCAGTAATACTCACAGGTGCAATTACTGTATTATTAAACTTGCAACTACATTCAACCAACCAGCTTTTTTTTTTTCCTGGTTAGAGACATATTCAGTTATTTATTTGAAAGAATTACACAGAAAGAGGGGGAGACAGTGAAAGGAATCTCTCATGCTCTACTTTACTCCCCAGGTGGTCTGGGCTGGGCCAAGCCCAAACCAGGAGTCTGGAGCTTCTTTGGGGTCTCCCACATGGCTGCAGGGACCCATGCACTTGGCCCATCCTCCACTGTTTTCCCCGGGCACAGACTCAGAACTGGATCATCCGGGACTCGAACTGGTGCCTGTAGATGCCAGCGCCGCAGGCAGCGGTTTTACTTGCCACAGGCCCCAACCAACCAGCGTTATACTCTATGTTTTTTACATGCTTACTGTGACAGTTCTGTTGGGACAGCCTCTTTCTGTCTAACTGTAAGATGAAAGTCTCAGAGAGGTGAAGTGAATGCTCAGAGTCCCCAGAAAGAGGTGCTCCTTGCCCCAAGATGTTCTTCCATCAAGGTGTATTTCCTCTGGGGAACTGGCATCGTGGTGTAGCAAATAAAGTTGCCACCTGCAGTGCCGGTGTCCTGGAGGGTGGCCTAATTGCCAGGGCTCCTTAGCCCACTTGTGAGGTCTGAAAAAATTTCCTGGCTCCTGGCTTCGGATCCTCAGCCCCGGCCAATGCAGCCATTTGAGGAGTGATTCAGCACATCTAAAATGTCTCTCTGTGTGTCTCTCCTCTTCTATGTAACTCTGCCTTTCAAATGGATACATAACTAAATTTTTAAAACGTATTTCCTCAGCCTTACCATAAGGCTGCCTGCTCTTGGGTGTTCCTTTTGAGCTGACCGACACTGATCAGGGCCAACCCTGTCATGCCCTGGTCCATGGATAGACCTTATTAGCCAAGAGTGGCTCTGCTGTTCTCATCTTGCCTCTAGTGAAGGCTCCTCTGTATTGCCCACATCCCAAATCAAAAATATTTTTCAATGATTCCCTCTGCACACTTTTGACTATATGGGATGTCAGGACTATAGGCAGAGACTTAGCTGGCTGTGCCACAGTGCTGGCCCCCTACCCTTTTGCTTCTTCAAAACCTCCATGAGGTAAGCAAGTATTTCTTGAGAAAACATTTGTAGATAGCGTTCTTTTGTGCAGGGAATATAGCCATGAACCGTTCCTCCATTGTAATTCTCACATCTGGCCTGAAGAGGGCGGGCAATAGACTAAAGGCGAAATAGACACCAGGGCACTTCCATCCATGAAGACTGAAGGAAGAACAAAGTTTATTGTGATATAAACATTGTTGAAACCCACGCATATTTTATTATAATGGATGCTTGTATGAGAGGAGTAAACGAGGAGGAGAGTGGTGGTTAACAATGGACATCTTGTTTTTGGTTCTAAAGATTTGTTCTCACTTGAAAAACAGAGTTAGGGAGCCTGGTGGCGTGGCCTAGCAGCTAAAGTCCTCACCTTGCACGTGCCGGGATCCCATATGGGCACCAGTTCTAATCCCGGCTGCTCCACTTCCCATCCAGCTGCTTCCCTGTGGCCTGGAAAAGCAGTTGAGGCCGGCTCAAAGCTTTGGGACCCTGCACCCATGGCTCCTGGCTTCGGCTCAGCACCAGCCGTTGCGCTCACTTGGGGAGTGAATCATTGAACGGAAGATCTTCCTCTCTGTCTCTCCTCCTCTCTGTATATCAATAAAAAAAAAAAAGAAAAGAAAAGAAAAGAAAAGAAAAGAAAAGAAAAGAAAAGAAAAGAAAAACAGAGTTAGAGGGAGTGTCAGACAGATACAGACAGATCTTCCATTTCACTGGTTCACTCTTCCCAAATAGCAGTCAGCACTGGGCCAGGCTGAAGCCAGGAGCCTACAGCTCCATCGTGGTCTCAGACGTGGGTGGTAAGGGTCTAAGCACTTAGATCATCTGCTGCTGCCTTCCCAGGCACCTTAGCAGGGAGCGGGGTTGAAGTGCAGCAGCCTGCAGTGGGACTGGCCCTCCTATGGGATGCTGGTGTAACGGAGGCAGCAGCTCCACCCGCCGTACCACCCTGAGCACCTTCATTCTCCGCTTCCAGAACCTGCCTCCTTTCCTCCTGCTCACCTCATTCCTCCTGCCCGTGCAGGGAGCTGCCCAGCGTCAACTGGAAAACGAGATATTTTCCTTACCTAGTGAAGAGAAAATGGCAGGACAAAGACTGGAAAAACAAACAATGGCCAGTGTCAACGGAAGGTGGCCGCAACTTCTGAGAGCTGTGCTTTTAGCAGCTATTATTAAGTGATGATAATCCCAAAAGAGGTTTTGGTTTCCAGGGTGCAGTTCCCCTTATCAAAAAAGCCAGCTTCCATACTGCTTGTAGGTGGTGCTTCTGTTCGGTTTTTGTTCACGCAGACCTTCCAAACACACACACACAGAGACCAACTGACTGACCTTATAAAAAGTCCAGAGAGAGCGCCTGGCTGACGTTTCTCTCGCAGGAGGCTGCACTGAGGATGCTGG